GGCAGGGAAGCATCGGTGTTGAACACTGATGTCATGATGTCGTCGATGATGATGATGGCTTACCGGTGGTCTGGAGCTGAAGAGAACTGTTTATTGCTAATGGTTCTGTCCACACCTGCAACACAACCTGAGGTCCATGGGTCTTCAGGCCAGCGTACGCAGTTGATCGAGTTGTGTTTGGAAGGTTGAGAATGTGACTGGAGCAACCAACTTCGCTCCTGCGCATGTGCCCGTGGTAATCGAAAGATAATTACCTAAATCCTCTGGAGTTCGAGCTTAGGCTGCTAGTTGTTCAGGTTATCTGAGTTTTATAGAATTCCGGTGGATGAAGACCTTTGAACCACCTGTGACCTGATAACAAAACATCAAAACCTTCACCAGTCAACTCAGTCGCACTGGTAAGTGCCGTCTTCCTGAATGGTGATCAGGGGTCGAACAAACCATTTGTTAGTGAACCTGACGGATATGATTGTGTCATGCGATCAATCGCGCTCTTGCATCAAGCTATCGCCCTCACTGTGTAGCCTTCACTCCTTACCACACCGGACAAGCGGAACCATTCGATGTCAATGAACTCATTGGGCCATCACCCAGTGCGTGGCTCTCTTTCATTTGTTCCGCGTATCCCCGGGGAACGAAGCTGTGGCGTCTGGAGCCACTGCATCTTGGCGCATTGTTTATGTGCTGAAAGACTGCCTGACTGGCTGAAATAATCTCGTTTGAAGAAGCTTGAGGCGCGAATGAAATCGGAGTGCGAAATGATTCAACATGTCGCCAAAAGACTGTCCCTTATCTTCGTGTAACGGTTTGTTTACCTCCGTGACTGACAGCTATATAAACTGTACCATTATGACAATATGTTTCCCATACCGTTTCGGCTTGACTTATACATTCCTGTAATCCACCAAGTTGGAATTGGGGGGATGTATGACGACCTATCTCTTGGGATTTTGTGCTAAGGGTGTATTGCTCCGGTGCCAACCGCTGCCTCATGGTTTGAAGAGGCATTTTGGTATTTTTTTGAAAGGCATCCGTTTGTGAAAGGGCTAGTGTGTGTAGTTCGGAGTCGTGCTGATTGCACCAGTTTGGTCGGAACCTATTTTCCGCAGAGGCCACTAATACCGAGCGTGAATACCGGTTGTTGGTCCGTCCTTGCTGATTCAACTATGAAGCGTACTTTACGCAGACACTTTGTTTGGACTTCCTTGTACCATCCCACCCATTTTCAACTGGTTACGCTGTTACCACTCTTGAGCATCCGGTTTAGTGATTGGGTGACAAAGTAAACCACGATTTGATTGCACGTTCACATCTTATAGCTCTCTGTTACTCTGAATGACCATGTCTGTGTACTTTCCGTTTAGTTTTAGCGATGCTGGTGCGAACTTCCAGCCCGTGCTTGTGATAAATATGGTCGCTTTTGATTGAATTTCCACTACCATTCCGACTAATAAATGGCGGTATATAACAAAAATACGGGAAGTCTCCCGAATGTCACGGGCCACCATGCAATGAACTGGAAAGAGCTAGCTGAGGCCGACGATCTAGCCTCCGCCCTAACGGTTGATGCATTTACCTGGTTGCTTCCGCAGAATGAAGGTTCGCATCCCCGAACGTATTAAAGCCAAGTTTCGAGATGTGTTGCTTTCCTTTCAAAAGCATAAATGCTACGAGACCGCCTATGACCAACTCACATCGGATTCGAATATTGTCAAACGGTCGTTGAAATCCGATCATCGTTTCAGAGAACATGTGAGCGAGTCTATTGTTCATTTTTTCGAGCCTTTACCCTTTCTAATATCAGGTCTATCGTTACTTGTTGCTACTTGACGACCGTTCAGGTGTGGAAATCCGGCCATGTTCGCGTTATGCGTCGGAAGATCACGTGGGTGCGGCAATTTTTGCCAGCAGAGATTGGTAAGTTCTTTCCAGAAGCATGTAGCCTTGACCATCTGTAGGCCCAAAGGTACCAGGATCCACACTCTCGTTGGATGCATCGCTGAAATGAAGCACTCAGAGGAGGCATCTTTCCTCAAACATCGCAAAAATGACTTTTCTGTCATGTATTCTTCGCGGAAAAACTGTTCCCAATTATGGCTGGGTCCGGCAGCTTATGTCAACCACGATTGTCAACCCAATTGTGAGGTTAGTGATTTATGTATCTTCTAGAACCCCACCAGTTCTTACGAAACTTGTCATACTTATATTGGCTACTTGTTGGCTTACTGTTTATCACCTGAGAGGCTCCGCCAACGGTCGCTGGTGAATTTATCAGTAAAGACGAATGCAAGTGCATAGGTTTGGAAGTGTCAAAACCATTAACTTTTGATTCATAGCCGCTTTGTCGCGAATTTTATGTTCACCAGTTGCTAACCAAAGGTCACCCTATCCGGTAGTGAGCTGGTGTCAGAACACGATCCACCAATGATGCCCGTTAACCTATCATTGTCTTCAATAATGTTCACACAGTTATATCACATTTCACTTGAAGGCGTTTCTTTGCTTTTGCCGCCACAGAAACTGCGACCCAATGAATAGACTGACGAATGTTTGGTGTTAAGTTTCTAGCTCATTTTCGAGATTTGCGCAGATTCAGAACTGGGTTCTTAATAGACTTTATCTGAGTGCGAATAGTGTTGTGACTAGTGAAGCAGGAGGTCAGAGTATTTCAGTTCAAAACCTGTTTTCCTGTACCTACTTTTACCAAAAAAGGACTTCAATCTGAAACAAATTAATAGTTGTTCTGTTGTCAGTTTGACCGACAGCCTGATTAGATGTATAGCACTGGTGGGGTTTAATGCTACTTTCTACCAAAAGTTGTGCTCGCAATCCAAAGTACGGTCCATGTAGAAACTTTTTCTGGTATCCGAAGTGATGGTTGTCTGCCACAACTGTACGTTCTTACACGATCAGAAATACACTATGAGGTCGGAATTTCATAGAGAAGCGTGTCTGGAGGTGCGCACCATAATCAGGTGCTTGAATTACAACTAGGGAAACTGCATCCCACAGAGGCATGTTGGCGAACTCCTTTTTGGCAAAACAAGTATGCAAGTCAACCCGATTTCGTCATATCGGATAGATCATGGCTCTTGAGAGCTAAATTATTTCTAACTTCGAGAGGCTGAGATAAAGCTTTGGTCCAAAACAAAACCAGAGTCAAGCATTAGTAAGAAGGCTTTATTCTGGCTTTTTCACAGATTGAGTCTTCATGTTATTGCTGGATTCTTGCTGGAATTAACAGAACCATTAGCTAAATGTATTAGCAGTCCGTGAAACGGTTTCCTTGGACCGCATCAACAATGTTCTTCAACTTTGGCAAACCACTGTTTACTCTCCCCCAGATTCAGAGTACCTCATATAGCTCACCACTCCCAGTCTGAGTTAAGTTTCCAGGCGTTTGGTTCGAACAATATAGAGTCTACAATGTGTTTGTTGGAGTTGCTAAGACGATACCAAGAGCCTTTACTTCATGCTTGGCTTTGTATCATACTGGTGCTCGTGTTGATGAGCTTTCTCTTCTGAAGTACACCCCTTTTGTGTACGGTTGGAAGCCGGTTGATCGTATTATGTAGACTGACGTTCCATTTCCTTGTATTTTCACCCGAATTCAGGGTTTAAAAATGCGCAACAGGGTGAAGAAATTGGTTGCTGGTTTGCCGATGACTTCATGTAATTAGTCGGCATTAATCAGTTCCGGTTTTTCGAAAGACCTGCTTCCCTCTCTCGTATTTCTACTCTTTATTCAGTTGCGGGTAGACCACCACAGGAAGCACGTGTACTCATTTGTCAACTGCCCGTACTCCCTGTAATGAATACTGTCCCTCCAGTAGCCAGTATAATACTACCCATACAATGCACACGGCTCCATGCTAACGGGTCAGCGTTTTACTGGACGGACAGCAAGAGCGAAACCATTGTACTCGCATTGTCAATCGAAAAGAAGCCAAACTGTGCAATTTCAATGAATCGAATTCCGAACTTCTTTTGAAGGTCGTCACGTGGCTGGTACATGCACTGTGCCTATCCACCGTATTTCGGGCCCAACAGTATTACCGACTCTTAAAGGTAATTGGTGACCTGACGATGCTCAGTGACAGGTTCTTGCTGGGGATGTTTGTGCTTTCTCTACTGGGTTGGTTGCTGGTCTGGATTGATTTGAGTGTTGTGCTATGTGTGATTGGAGTGTTTAGAAAAATGTTGTCTTTTGTCTACATCTAACCAAACTCCGACTCAGTCAGATTGTTCAGTTGATTCTGACTGCTGATCGTCATTCACCATCGTCAACGCATCATGCCGAGACACTGCTCAATTGCCTGCCATTCAACAGTAACCATTAGAAATTTAGGCGCCATCGTTTGTCAACTCATTTTTAAGCGTTCCTCCATGTTGTGCCTCAGATAAATCTTGTCCTATTCCACTCCCGATGACAGTTTACTATCAACTGTGATGCGGATGCTCGAATGAGTCTGGAAGCCAAAATCGACATACGGAAAGGTGAAGAGATTTTCATCTACTATGGCAAACATTTCTTCGATGTTAACAACAGCGCTTGTGAGTGCTTCACTTGTGAGCTACTGGGACGCGGGTACTTTAGCAAGTTTCTCCCAGCAAATCTCCTCTCTCCGGTTGTGGGGTCTGGTCTCCAGTCCAGTTCCGCGAACCGTCTAAACGATTCCCGTACACAGCACTACATGATTGAGGAGCGTGTTGGTTGTCAAAATGACACGAAACTCTCGTTGCGTGCAGTGGATCCGCCTAGCCCCCTTGGTAGGTCTTACCCAAACCTCAATCTTAACTTGGTATTTGTTGCCTCTATTGCCTATCTTAACAGATCAGTATTTCGTCTAGGAGTGCCATAATAGGGTCTCCATTTATCACAGGCCCATGTGTCATAGTTTGTGCTACTTACCTATATATCTGAATCAGTGTTCTTGTAGATTCCGACGCTAATGATCACCTGAGTCGTTCGATCTCAATGAGTCTGTCCGTAAATGTAGGTCCTCCAGTGGCTACCGTACTTCTTCGCATATGTTTGCGGTGGCGTAGTGATTGCATCTACAGCCAGGTTGAGTGTTATCGCCGCGACTTAGTGTGAGGATAAAGGGGTCTCGGTAGGATTGTTAGCTGTCCACTGAGCGACCGAACATACGGACGGTACGTGGCAACTTTATAACTTGCCATTAAACAAAGTCGTCCTTAGTTTATATCGAGTTCCGGACATCCCGTAGAATGTCAGATAGTATCTATCTTATGTGCTCTAGTGCTCATGAAGAGAAATACGATGATCTCTTAACCATCAGTCCAAACGAATTCCGATTCACCCTTGCATCGCACATTCGGTTGAAATAACATTACAAGCAAGAAATTTGTCTGAAGCCCGGTTGATTCTGCCGTTGACAATAATCGGTGTTCAAATGACTAATTTAACTGAAGCCAGTGACTGAATAACTCACGAGCGCGCCCCCGGGGCTGGGCGAGTGGTGCGGTTTTCAGCGACTGTGGCTAAGAACCATCGCCATGGGTAACACATCCAGCTAACCTGTGTTATGACACCTGAAAACTTGCGTTACAGGCAGCCGGCGAGGAATAAATTTTCCACCAATTGAAGAGCTGCAGGATCACACTAACCTCGCACGCAAAAAAGACCTATGGTTTGAATGCCAAACACCGTTTGTACACAGGAATCATAGGCACTGGGTGAGGAATCCACACTTTACCGATTGAATCGAATGTTTGGTTCGGCCTGTACACAGTCAAGCGATGTCTAGAACTTACAAACCCCAATTTACGCGTAATATGAGCCTGATGGGGAAGTCACTTTCCACGGGAGCGTTACGTTAAGCCCGCCAATTTAATTTTTACTGCTAAAAGCCAAACGACACCACTGTGCTCAGTCCTTACGGCACTGAAGCATCGGTGTTGAACACTGATGTCATGCTGTCGATGATGATGTGCTCAGTCCTTTGTTGCCTATTCCTTAATGACTGAGTCGATTAGCGGTATAAATGCAGCCACGGTGGGGTTTCCCAATTGCTTCCGTTCCTTGGTTCGTCGTTCAGCTGCAAAACCCTTTCAGTGCTCAGATGCCACGCCACCTCAAGACAGCACGAAGGCTGAGATATTGCGAGGTTACCGAATTTTGGACAGGAGCAGTCGAGGTGCAGAGGCTGGGTTCGAACCACGGTCTTTCTGGTCACCTGCCTCGAGTTGATATAAATGAATCGGTTGGCTGCCCTCCATCTGGTTCCCAAAAGCTCTACTTCGACAAACGTGAATGGATTCCAGTAACCTCCTGTCTAATCGTGCATAAGAATGGAAAAGTGTTTCCTTTCTTGGGGATCTCACTTGTTGGGCGTAGGAAGTATTAGATTCGTAGAAATACTTAGGAAGGTTCCCTAATTTTTTTACGGCGCGGACACCCTCTGACTTAGATGCTGTTACAGTTGAAGCGGTAATGAGAGTACTAGGTGATCGACAGTGAACGCTGCACTGTTTTCATATTAGACTGCAACAACCAAGTAAGATGTCGAATGAAGGTAATCAGATTTTTACACTCAAGTGAATTGTGTAGGAGGGAAATACTTCTGGAAGGCATTCATGAAAATAGTGAAGAATGTCTGGAACGCACTTGCATACTCATCAACGTGGTAGGTTGATGAGTATGCACGATCTTTGCTTTCAAAGAGTCAAAGATAGTGACGGTTTGAGGACACAAAAATAACAAAGACTTCAAAAAATGAGCTGTTTTGGAGCTAAAGGTGGATGCACTTGTTTCCGTTGTAAAATGGGGGCTGGAAGCTTGCCACAGATGGCTGAATGTGAATGGGTGTAAGGTGACAGAAGGAGCATGTTGCGTTGAGCACCTCTCGTGGTGGTGGCGGTGTGGGTTTCCGTGAACCATCAGAATTAGGGAATGTGATAATGAGGGGTGGAGGTTTCCTCTGAATAGAGGCAGGTAGGCATCGTAAGAGAGATCCATCCAAGACATAACAGCAGTCTGAAATTTTTGGGGAAGTAGTTGAGCAGAGTGATTTACGAGCTTAAATAGGAAGGCGAGTAAACTAGAGAAGCTGGAACCACTGTACCTATGGCGCACGGTTTATAGCTGATGAAATGAATTAAATTGAAGGTAAGTCTGTCTTTAAATGGGTGCACCCGAAGAGTAAATGATGAAAAATCAGAAATTGCAGCTGATCTGATCCAAAAGCGAATGTCAACCTGGGAATGATGAAGAGAGACAGATGCAGCTTGAATAGGTTGGCTGTTGTCTGACGTGCCGTGCTCTGAAAGCTTTGTAAGAACAGTGCTAAGATGGCTAGTGCGTCATTGTCGCATAATCAATGAGTGGAAACATGTTCGGAGCGATAAAATCGTTCAACTGTAGCACCCTTTCGGTGCCTAACTGCCATGCCATCCGAAGGTTGCTTGAGGGCTGGGACTGCCAAATTGCCCAAGCCTAGACAACAAAAGTCGAGAGGCGGAGTTTGGGTTCGAACCATGGACCTTCCGGTCAGTAAATTCGCGCTCTACCCACTTGGGCCATCTCGCCTCCGATAAGGGGAAGAATACTGTTGAGTGACGTTCAGGAAAGCGTGACTGTAGGGAGAAACAAGCCACATAAGTCACTGATGCAAGGGAATTAAGAATGGGGAGGAGTTTCAATCCCTGGTGAACGTTTGTGTTTATGTCATGGGTCTTGGAGATACAGTCCTTTTGGAGCGTTTTTTGAGACGTATCCGCATTTTGTCGATGAGACAAAATTTAATACGGGGTTGACAGCCAATCTGAACATGTTCATGTGAGCAATAGAACCTGTTCGGTCGTATTGAAAGTCCATTGTGTTATCCCATGAAATACCAGGTCGCTCTTGGGACTTCCAACCTGTCTATTTTCGAAACAGTATTCAGGGTTCTACGTGGTTTCCAGGTTTCGAGAGTTAGCAAAAAACTGCAAACATCCCTCGTGGTAATTGAAGGCAATCGGGACCGCGCCGGTGAGTGCAGATAGACAGGATTATTTTTTCTAGGTGTAAGAAAAGCACTGGCGTCCCTTCGGGAAAGCTTCGGTATCGCCGCCGGAATTGAGGATTTTCGGAACTCAGGAGGTTGATGGCTGACTGCTTAAGCCAGTGTCCAACTTCCAGCTGTTGCGTTCGATAGTTGACCCGCCTTCCGATGAACGAACATGTTTGCTGCATTCTTACGAGTGACAACGCAAACAGCACGTATTACTGAAGAGAGCACCTGTCAGCACTTGTATATGCTGTTCCCTGTGACCGCGCGGAAATGTATTTCTGTACCCTTGTCTAATAGGTGAGGATTGAAGTTCACAAAGAATATTGGTGTCCCTTTTGGAGGAGGTTGAACAATCGTACGATGAACCAACTCTGAAAGTTGACACACCTTATCCCTTCCCGCGGGAGAGTATCACCAAAAATACGCGAGGCAGCATGAATTTTACAGATAGAAATGGGTGGGAAACTTTTGATACGACAATAATCAGACGAGACAAGAGGAAGAAGACGAGACGTCATAAGAAAAAGCAGCGGAAAAGTAGGTGGACTTATTGACCTGTTTCGGAGTATATCATCACTCAGCTGTAGCACCCCTTCGGTGCCTAGCTGCCATTCCACCCGAATGAAGCACGAGGCTGAGATACTGCCAGGTTGCCGAAGTCTAGACAGAAGTTGAGATGCAGAGACCGGATTCGAAATACAGACCTTCCGGTCAGTAAATCTACTCTCGAACCACTGAACCATCTCGGAATACAGTACATTTTGGAGTACAGTCGATGCTGGACCAAGGCAACTTCACAATTATAGATTGATTCCAGAAATCTGTTGAACCACGTCGAGTTACGCGCAAACCCCAAAAGCCAATTCTTTCAAATGGAGTTTTATCTACAAATGCGGTACTATAAGTACAATAATAAAATGATAAAGCTTTACAAACCTTAAATCGTGGGACTATGCCGGCTTCTGTATACCGGTTTAGGAACTGCTAATTCCTAACGGGTCTCAAAGTCCACGCCGACGCGGAGCCACGTGTTTACAAGCTAGCGAAACCACGTGTGGACTTAAACGACACGTCCGATGACAAGGTCAAGGAACGGTTTATGTTCAGGTCAAAAACAACAAGGGTGGTATAGGCACAGACCAAGATAACAAAAAAGGGGGAATCGCATCATACAATATAAAAGGTAGAAGAAAGGAATCAACAACAACATGGTGGCATTAAATATCGTATAAGCTGCTTCTAGTCGCAGTAGTGGGTAAGAATGTGGCCGGATTACGCGCACAAAATGCTGTGAGAAAGATGCGGAATCATTGACCATTTGTCAAGTAAATTGGCGTTGATTGGTTAAGAATACTCACGCAACAAAAGCCTGAAAAATATCAGACTGACAGGGTCAGACCACACTCGCAGGATATAGTGGCAGACAGCAATGCAAATTGTTTTAAAACGGACAGTATCAGCACACTGATGTACGCATAGGACCAAATGTGACACAGACACTAGACAGGAATGTTCAGCCCCGCGATGTGACCAAGTCATTACTGAGCTGTCCCAGCACGATGCAGCTGGCTCACTGGATTTTGTGCTTCGTACGCATGGTAGTCAGCCGGCGGTTTTTTTAAACACTCAGCAACTCTGAGCACTTGTGGGATGTGCAGGACATTTTGAGCACCATACGTACTTCTCTGTTAATTCAAGTTCCTCGTCAACATTTACTTCGTACTGCCATACCGATCTGGCAACGACCCACTC